AGGCCCAATTCCAAACCACACCCTACCCACTCCCCCTCCGTGGAGGGAAAACACAGGAAGTAAAACCAGACGAGACACATCGAGGAAAATAAATTTCAAAATAAAACAGGAAACAATAAACAAAAACTAATATCATGACAGATGATATGATTCTGAGTAGAACCCCAAGGAGAGAGTGTTTGAGACGACATTTGTTCAGATTTTGTTCCTGTATTGATGTGATGTATTGCTATGCATTGCATTAGACACCAAAAGTCAGTCTCTATTTGTGGACCAGGCAGCAGAAAATGTCTCTGCCCTGTTTCAACTACAAAAGCAGTTTATTTGTACTTCTTATATTCTGTAATACATTATATTTTATTGTATGTATCTTTTTTTTTTTATTCATTCTAAAAGGGAACAACTGTCACAGACTGTATGATCAGCCTGATCTCACCAGAATGCGTACAAATGACACGACTCATGAAGTCGTGCAATAGATACGCAGAAGTCCGTTTTTGCGTGCATATGATACACCCACGTTACGTTTGTTATGAACGTATGTTAAATACGTTTTCTTTCTACAATTTTCTCCCACGTTACGTTTGTTGTGAACGTATCTTAAATGCGTTTATTTTCTACATATCTTTGCCATTTATCTAATCCTAACCCTAACCATAACCCAATAAGCTGTTAAATGTGTTTATTTGCTACATATCTTTGCCATTTATTTAATCATAACCCTAACCGTAACCCGATAAGCTGTTAAATGCGTTTATTTTCTACATATCTTTGACATTTATTTAACCCTAACCATAACCCAATAAGCTGTTAAATGCGTTTATTTTCTACATATCTTTGCCATTTATTTACGGCGATCAAGCCTGAAGCCATAGAGCTCTTTTTTTTTATGTTTGAGGTGCAATATCATGTAGCGTATCATATGTATGCAAAAACGGAGTTCTGCGTATCTATTGCACGACGTGTAAAGTCGTGTCATTTGTACGCATTCTGGTGAGATCGGGTTGCAGCGATACAACTCCTCAAGAATCAAGTTGCATTTGTGTTTCTTTATTGCCACTGCTGATTAAAGTGAAGTGGATGTGGGCTTTCCAAATCTCCAGGTGAACATATTAGGTGAAATGTTGTATGGTGATCTGGTTTTTTTCTTTTAATATTCCCCTTTATGTCTCTGTAATCTTCTAAAAATGTAAGCAGGAATGTTGCATGGTTGAATGGCTTGTAATAGTTCAACTATTTTAGTTGGTGCTTGAGCTCTCTAATAAATAACAAGTATTGCCAGAGTTAAGAACTTAGCAGGGATTTATTCTCTGTAAACATCATCTTTGCTTCAATTTTTAAAGCTCCTGGCAATAAACATACCGTGATACCCTTTGCCACCTAAATGTCAAAACATCACAAGAGAGACAAATTAATTTCTTTAAACATGTTTTATTCCAATCATTGTCACAAGTCATTTCAGACAGAAATTGTGCAATCAACAGGACATCTAACAAAATACGGCTGTGCAAGATTGTATAAATAAATAGTTTTTATAAATAAGAACATTTCATGATAAAACGGTATGCATTAGTTCAGTGTTAGGATGTGCAGCCCACAGGGAGCTATATGTTTTCCTTTATAATAAAAAAATACATTATTAAAAACCATCACTAAGAAAGATATTTCTAAAGGAAAGTGCTTAGTGAACATAATTTACATCTACATCCCAAGTTATACTATTATGCTTAGTATTCAAGCTGCACAATAATTAATACACCATAGTAGTTTTTCAGTGATGGAAATCAGCACTTCTGCCATTGTTGGCTTGACAGTAGCCATGACAACATCGCTAGACAGGATGGGGTCATGAGACTGAAGTTTTGGCTTACTCCACTTGAAGCTGAAAATAAGGATAAGAACAAACATTAGTTAAACAATTGTGCACCTTTTGAATGCACTGTTGATAAAGTAGCACTAAGCATTACTTACTTAGGCCATTCACGGAGATGGAGCTCCCCTCAATGTCAAAGCCGGTGATGCATGCAGCTGCGCTCATTAAAACGCTTGCAATCAGAAAATCATCTGAATCAGCAGGTGTGCTCGAAAAGTAAACATCCATGATGTTGACGATTGATCCATCACTGCCAAAGTAAGAAAAAAAACGTCTTTGAAAAATCCGATTTAGGCCACTTTTCCAAAAATGTAACTGGACATGTCTTAACAAATTACCTGAATGACACCACTTCCAAGGACTTAAAGGAAGAAGGGAATGCACTCTGGAAAACAGGTGTAACCTGCAGAAACAGGAAACAGGTTGTTTACAGAGGAAACACATAATAAATGTAAGATGTAAGTGTTCTTTGAATGTGTGCTTGAGCTCTGCATATACAGTACAGTACAGATACAGTAGGTGAAGCAGGAGATTTATTTGTAAGAATGAGACGTACCTCTTCTTTAATCGTTGCAGCTCGATTTGTATAAGCTGTAGATGATGGATTCAGCAAGTCACTTGTAAAGTTCTTTAGAAGAGACCTGAATACCACCCTTTTTATAATCAGTGCTCCAGTAGTAGTTGCAGCTGCAACAGTGTTAGGTGCAGAAGGTCTAGGTGTGGGAGCTGTAGTTGGATCTGTCACTGGACTTGCTGTAAAAACAAATATATAGATCATATTTATTCGGTAAAAGTATTGGTTCCTATACCATCCATTGCCTTTTGCTTGTTTGATGAAAAAAACTATTGAAAAAAGAATTAAAAGGTTTCAAAAAGTTGGTTTTGTAGACTTTCTGGTTATAAACTAGGTAAGCTAAAAATAAATAAATAATGAAATTCATTAAAAATATCTTCGGTTTATCGTCTCTATTTGCTTTTTTAACATAATTGTATTAACAAACTGATCAAGCAAAATATTATGTTGTGGATACTTACCTAATATTGTGACTGAGGCGGAATTTATGCTCAGATTGAAGCCATTGTTGGGATTGTTTACAGCTTGAACGAAGTCTTTAACAACAACAGAATTCATTGGGAGTTCTGCTTGAGAAGTATTCCCATGGAACACAACTGCCATCTTCACTTGAGTTTCGGAAAGTCGTGGATTTATGGCACTGCATCATTAAACCAAAAGGGAAAAGTTCAATCAGATGATTATGTTGCCCAGTATGCTTAACTATCGCAATTAGAAGACATATATTCTACGATTGAAATCCTGCATATAAAGTGCAAGTTTAACTTTTTAGAAATTGTTCTTTACCTGAATCCTTCCAAAACGCAGTGGGAAAATGTTTTGGGATATTTTGTTCTGTAAGTTTTATCACACTGCAAAAAGAACAAACATTGAAAGGACTTGATTAGCTTTCAAGAACAGTTGCTATCTTAAAATATTGGTCTTTTAGCTTAAACATTCTGTATGATCATGCAATCACAATTACTGAGACATTTATCAACGTGTGTGAATTTATATTGCTCTCACCGCATTTATAACTTCTCCTCCAAGTGCTTTGTATTCAGGGCTGCTGGTGTTAGTGAGGGCAGGGGAAAAAGCTGGTTCTGTTAATTTTGCTGAGAGATAATAAGTAGGTGCAGAGGCTGCTGTGTTTGTTGCAGCAGGTGTTGTCGGTGCAGTTGTTATCTTATCTGGTACTGGACTTGCTGTGAAATAAATATTTAAAGAATATGTAAATATCTTTTGGTACCAATACTTAACAGAATTTGTAATCCTTGTATAATGTCAAACTGACACAGACCATTATAGTGAAATATTGAGTTGTGTTAACTTACCTAATACTATGACTGAAGCAGGATGAATGCTCAGGTTAGGAATATTGTTGGAATTACTCAGAGCTTCTACTAAGGTTTGAGCAACAATATCATTCTGTGGGAGATCTGCGATGGCAGTAGTCCCATGGAACACAACCCCCACAGTTGCTTGAGTTTCAGACCCTTGTGGTGTATTTAAGGCACTGTAAAATAGAAGGGAAGGGGACAAGTATTATATTATGACTTGAGATGATTCTGTTGCCTTGTTTAATGTGTTCTTATGACATGATTAGGATTAGAGAAACACATTTTAAGACTGAAATCTTGCATTTAGAATTCAATCAGATAAGCACTCTTGGAAAATCTTCTTACCTGAAGCTTTTCAAACGGCAGTCGGAAAACGTAGTTGGGAATTTGAGGCTGTATTTCTCGTTACACTGCAAAAGAAAGCAACATTCAACAACCTTGATTATTGTTTAAGAACATTCTTTCTAAACAGATATGACGGTTGCAAAAACATTCTGTAAAATGCTTTTTTCACACCGCTATAATCAATCAATGGCAAATGCATATTTTGAAAATGCTCTCACCGCATTTTGTATTGTTCCTTTAAGTGCTTTATATTCATCGCTGTTGGAGTTACTGAGGGCAGGTGAATAAGTCGGTCCTATCAGTTCTGCTGAGAGAATATAAGTTTCTGATCCCACAGTGTTTGTTGCAACAGGTGTAGTTGGTGTGACAGTGTTAGGGTCTGCTGTCGTAGATGCTGCAGTTGAAAGTGCAGCTCTTGTTGTTGCTGATGTCATGGAAGTGCCAGGTGCTGCACTCGTCAGAGTAGCAGGGTTTTTTGCAACACTCGAAGGGGCTGCTGATGTGGGTGCATCAGTGGTTGCAAGGGGGGTAGTTGGTGCAGCACTTGGGGCTGCTCTAGTGGGCTCCAAGGTTTTTAGAGCGGCTGTTGTTGAGGCAGCTGTTGTAGGCGCGGTAATTGTTGTTGCTGCTGTTGAAAGAGCAATGGTTGTAGGTGAGGCAGTTGTAGGTGCCAATGTTGTAGCAGCAACAGTTGTAGGTGCTGCAGTCGTAGGAGCCACAGTTGTTGGTGCTACTGTTGTAGGTGCTGCAGTTGTAGCAGCAACAGTTGTATGTGCTGCTGTTGTAGGTGCTGCAGTTGTAGCAGCAACAGTTGTAGGTGCTGCAGTCGTATGAGCCGCAGTTGTGGTTGTTTCTGCTGTAGATGCGGTCGTTGGAGTTCCTGTTGTAGGTGAGGAAGGTTTAGGTGCTGCAGTTGTTGGATCAACAGTGGTAGGTGCTGGAGTCGTAGGAGTTGCAGTTGTTTGTGCTTCAGTTGTGGGTGCANTAATTAAAAACACCTCTGATTGTAGAGGAATAGCCTTCTCCCCTAACTCAAATAACTTTGTTGCTTTAAGACAATTTCATTAGAAGTTGTCTTAACTCAATAAACATTGATGCAAACTGTTGCGTTGATTTTCTTTGTTGAGCCAAGGCATTTGTTTTTAGAGTACAGGTGCCCTAGGAGGTTTCTCCACAAACCTCCCAATGGTACACCTTCCCAGTGATAGAGGTGCTCTTTTCGCTCTGGCACAAATTAAGTGAATTTCAGTCTAGCTTGGGATGTATTCAGTAATACTTTGCACTTATTTTGGGTTGTGCACAGAATCTTTCTCTCCCTATTATCTTCATAGCAGCCAGATGGCTCTCTATCTATCGTTCCTCTCGCATTTATTGTCTCACATTCTGTTTCTGTAAATACTCACCATTTGCATGCATATTTGGTTCACACAGGTTCAGAAGATATAGGCGAGCCCATAAAAGTCCAGTAATGAAGATTTGTTATGTACACTGAGATTAAAGCTATACAAAGGCCTACATGGAGCTTGGAACAAAATATGTGACAGCGCACAGTATGCGACCAAATCAACAAGCAGAGCTCTCATTATGCGTTCTCTGGTGAAATCCCTTCACTCACTTTATCCTCCGTCTCACCCTCCTATCTACCACTCTCTGTGGTTCAGGCTCCACCCTGGGTGCTGCCACAGGTTTATTAAGAGCTGGGGGCATGTCCACACTGCACAGCTTGTCTGAATGGAGACTCACAACATGTGGCACCCCCCCTCCTCAACAATCACCATCTGGCCTGGTCCTCATCGCGGTATGAGAGCCGCGCACAGCAACACGCTAGGGACTGCACAGATGTGCAATGTAAATTATTCCCATGCTCGTGCACATATGGAGACGCTGTGAATGTTTTTTTTAGGGGTGCCCCTAAAGAACCCAGCCCTGTTTGCTGTTTTCGTGTTTTATTCAATGTCTGTTAATTGTGTGTGATATTCTCTATAAATGTGTTGAGTTATTTCACAAACAGCAGAAGATGTATTGCCATGCTATTGCTAACTACCCAAAGTTTAAAGGTGTCATACATCTTCAGGACAAAGTTCACTCATCTCAATTTCACCTATTTATTATGGCTCTGTCAAACAAAAATGCTAACATTATAGCCTTGTGGCCTACCTCAGAGAAACTTTAAAAAAACATATTGGATTGTTGGGTTTATGTCTTCTCAATGCTCAAAGTAGACCGGCTGTTCTCCAAAAGGAGCTGAATGCCCATAAGCATGTTGACCTCTTAGGGTCAGAAATCATTGTGTCCTCTCCTTCCACTGTGTGGTCTCTGGTGTATAATTGACATTTAATGAAGGCCTCCGTTTGCGTGGGGCCATAATGGCACTGGTTAAAAGAATGGAGACAGAAGGGGGTGACAAAGAGGGATAGGGAGAAATATGGGGAAACATGTTAAAAAATAGAATCATAAAAAGTGAAAAAAGGAAGGTAGATTGAGCGATATTGGTTAAAAAGAAAGATGTCAACAGAAGTAGAAACCGAACATGGCTTTAAAAGAAGAGGAGACACATCAGATACATGGGAATGAAGAAAGAAGCTCGGCAACAGGCGTGGAGGACAACAGCCTGTTGTCTGACTGCCAACCCCATCTGTCTACTTTCACATCACCTCTGTCAACCACAGAGAGTGAGAGTGCTAGTGAGAGAGATGGAGAGAGGGAAAATGGACACGCTAATGTGCCCTGTGTTGACACCATGCCCTAATGTGTCATCTTAATAGCATACCACTGCATGAGAGGAGCACCCAAGTGATCTGTTTAAATATGACAAAGATGAACCACTGTTATATAACCTGTGCTGCTGCTGTTATATTCTACTCAGGGCATGTCTGGGTTCAAGAGCATTAAACACATCTATTAATGTGTGTAATCATCTGTCACAGTCTACATCTTACACATCCTCCTTAAGGATTGGATCAAAGTGGTTCATTCTATTCACAGAACAAACAGCCGACGAACCTCTAGTCTACGATAATGAAAAGGTGTGTGTTCTTCTGCCCGTCATCTCATTTGCCTACCTCTTAGAAATGTACTCTGTGTTTCTAAGGAGTGGCTGTTTTTTTATCTGTTTCAAACCAACCGAAGTTGGCTAGGTATCAAAGTCTTCACTTAGGGGAAAACCACGCCGAATAACAATGGTCCAAAAAATGTAAAAAAGAAAATAACTGTGTGGTTAGAGGTTAGCCATTGTGGTGTCTGACTTAATAATGCAGTAAAAAGGGTTTTTGCCTGAGGTCAGACAACTGTGACCTAACAAACACAACGGAAAGCACTGATAAGAAGAGTTGGGAAATGTTAATGCGAGTGGAGGGGAAACCCACAACATGTCTGTAATGTGGAAACAACTTATTTTCTCTTTTAGCAAAGCTGGAGGATGAGCAACCAACATGTTAGATTTCCTGCTTCATTTTATCATCATAACCCCCCATACGGTGAGTTAGGCTGAATGTATAGTTTCCCATGAGCAGGCAGCTTAAACAATGCCAACACTTTTGCCTACACAAGGTTTGAACTGAAGTCCACCTAAGAATAAAAAACTCAGAATTGGTTTTCTAGTTCGATTACACGGTTGGAATGCATTTATTTTCTTGTCTTCTCTTCACTATGGGTTCCTTCGAATATAGAGCAAGCATTTGCTTGTTAGAATAAATTGAGCAATCTATCAAAAAAGTTAATATTTTTCCAACTCTTACCCTTACCTTTTTTTGTTTCTGTAAAGCAACCTTGAAGAGTGCAAGGCAGGCAACAAACTATTAAAGCCTCCATTTCTCTGGGGTTTTAAAACACTCTAAAATAGAGAGCTGTGCAGCAGATTCCCCCCTTGGGGAGGGGCTCAGAAGGACCGTTCTTCCAAAACAAACTTTGCTCACAGCTCTGTGATCCGTTTGCTTAATTATAGATTAATGGTGCCTGCCTTTCACTTCACACTGTCACCTTTATAGCATGATTGAGTTATTGTGTGGGGTCCCTGCTCACAACACACATGCTTCAATATTACATCTGAGATATTCTGACCCAGTTTTCAGTAATTGGCTATATAGATACATCTGATCTTTTAGCAGGAATCACCATGAGCCACATCTTTATGTCTTTTTTAAATCCTACTCATCACCTGTGTCTGCGCTAAGAGAGAAGCATAATCTCTTAATGTCTACTATACCACAATAGTAGACACACACACACACAAACACACACACACCCACACACCCACACAGAGTCACTTTCGCCATCCTGCTTCCCTGCCCGGTTATTCCTCTTACTGTAACTGTCTCCCATCCATTCAGTGCCTGTAATCGCACACCTAAAACTGCTAACGATGGAAGTAGTGTGCATGCTTGCGTGTGTGTGTGTGTGTGTGTGTGTGTGTGTGTGTGTTATAGAGAGAGTGTGCCTGTGTGTGAGAGCTAGAGAGAGTTAGTGTGTGAGTCTGTCTGTCTGTCTGTCTGTCTGTCTGTCTGTCTGTCTGTCTGTCTGTGTGTGTGTGTGTGTGTGTGTGTGTGTGTGTGTGTGTGTGTGTGTGTGTGTGTGTGTGTGTGTGTGTGTGTGTGTGTGTGTGTGTGTGTGTGTGTGTGTGTGTGTGTGTGTGTGTGTGTGTGTGTGTTAGGTGTGTAGTGTAGGTAGTAGGTAGTAGTAGGTAGTAGGTAGGNAGGAGCCGCAGTTGTAGGAGTGACTGTGGTAGGTGCGGCAGTCGTAGGAGCTGCAGTCGTAGGAGCTGCAGTTGTAGGTGCGGTCGTCGTTGGATTGCTTGTTGTAGGTGAGGCAGTTGTAGGTGCTGCAGGGGGCAGTCGTAGGAGCTGCAGTGTAGGTGCGTGTTGTAGCAGCAACAGTTGTCGGTGCAGTTGTTGTAGGGAATCCAGTCGTAGGTGCTAATGTTGTAGGAGCCATAGTGGTAGGAGCTGCAGTTGTTGGTGCAGCTGTTGTAGGTTTGGCCGTCGTTTGAGCGCCGGTTGTAGGTGAGGCAGTTGTAGGTGCTGCTGTTGTAGTTGATGCAGTTGTAGCAGCAACAGTGGTAGGTGCTTCAGTCGTAGGAGCCTCGGTTGTTGGTGCAAGTGTTGTAGGGGCTGTAGTTGTAGGAGCAAACGTGGCCGGGGCTGCTGTTGTGGTTGATGCTGTTGTAGGTGCAGCTGTTGTAGGTTTGGCAGTCGTTTGAGTGCCGGTTGTAGGTGAGGCAGTTGTAGCAGCAACAGTTGTCGGTGTAGCTGTTGTAGGGGCTCCAGTCGTAGGTGCTAATGTTGTAGGAGCAACAGTGGTAGATGCTGCAGTCGTAGGAGCCTTGGTTGTAGGTATGGCCGTCGTAGGAGCCGCAGTTGTAGGAGCGACTGTGGTAGGTGTGGCAGTCGTAGGAGCTGCAGTTGTAGGTGCGGTCGTCGTTGGATTGCTTGTTGTAGGTAAGGCAGTTGTAGGTGCAGCTGTTGAAGGTTTGGCAGTCGTTTGAGTGCCGGTTGTAGGTGAGGCAGTTGTAGGTGCTGCAGTTGTAGCAGCAACAGTTGTCGGTGCAGCTGTTGTAGGGGCTCCAGTCGTAGGTGCTAATGTTGTAGGAGCCATAGTAGTTGGAGCTGCAGTTGTTGCTGCAGCTGTTGTAGGTGTGGTCGTTGTTGGAGAACCGGTTGTAGGTGAGGCAGTAGTAAGTACTGCTGTTGTAGGAGTTGTTGTAGCTAAAATATTTCAACACACAATACACAGGTTATTCTTAGCCTTTTTTAACAAAAAGTGATCCATAGTTCATACTGCACTCTGATGTGTGTTTGAACAACTTTCCCTGTACTTCAGATTATGTTGTTCATTAAAATGTACTTTATATTTTATAAAGAACCTTGAAATTGATTAAAATCTACCTGCTTACCTATTAACATGAGGGAAATTGATATTATCCAGCCGACACCCATCTTGTCTTCCTTTGAATCTATAAAATCAAACAATACAGACACTTACTCACAGAAGCAGCTTTTCAAAAACCTTTACGTTCACTGTTACCACTTACTAGAATTATTACCCTTTAAGTCGGTCGCAAGATTACATCTGCAGATGACTTCATTCATTACAGAAATATATGTTATATTTATTTTTCATCCAAATATGGCACTTTACTTTCATTTCTGAAGTATGTGAAATTTGAAGAGATTTAACTCCACAACCTAAAATTGTTATTTCCTCAAACCTTGCCAACTGATTTCTTTTAAATCCAAAAATAGTCTTTTGGAATATTTGAGAAGATGTTGCAAACCGAGCATAGATGAAGAACCATTTAGAAATGTAATAAATGAAAAAAACTTCTACAGTCCAAGCCAAGCCATTTTTATTAGAATTTACAACATTTTGAGTAGTAGTGATGGAATTGACAAATTCTGTAATGTTTTTGGCTGAATAAACACTTTGATTGGAGATATATATTAATTAATTAATAATAATGAGAATGAGGCTGCGTGGCTAAGACCCCTAATAATAACAACAAAACCATTATTACTTTTTCTGGTACTCTGGAAATGACGCCCAACATTATTTCATCCCACACCTTTTTAGTACTTCCAAGCAGTGTATACAGGGAATCTTATATTATATAATGAAATTTGTGTTCACACCCTTGACCCAAAATAGAGGCATTAAATTCATTAATTTTGGTTTATTATAGCTTTTTCTTGAAATGACCATTATTATACAACACGCTTTTTAGCTACTGTAATTAGCAGGAGCAACCATGTTTGCTCCAGGTCTGATGATGCTGGCTGAAACTCCACAAAAAAGAGATTAAACTGCCTCTTGAACAGACAATCTACTATCACAACAATTCCACTTATAGATTAAGTGAGAGAGATATTCAGCCTTTGAAATAGACTTAGAAAGGTACTTACCCAAAATGAGGTTAAAAATGATGTCTTCGTATTTGCCTTCAATGTTTTGAAATATATCTCTATGTGTCTTTTAATCAAGTCAATTCCATAAATGTGAAATTGCAAACGTTTCAGACTTTATGTGACACTCTTAATCTTTCATGCCTTTATATTGAAATGGGCTAATGGCTCATGACGTAATTCATTGGTCATACATTTTTTTATAAATGTTGTTACACCTAGAATAACAAAGCCCAATTACAGGGTACATCATATCAACTGTCAATCTGTCTGTTTATTGCCGAAGTGCCATGGCACTCCCTTCTTTTTTCCTGCAAATCAACGTTGTGACTACACCCGTCCCATTCTGGTTGTTTAACAAATATAAGGAGGCTCTACGTAGAGCAGCTTATTACTCATCATTAATGGCAGAAAAAAGAGCAATGCCAGGTTTATTTTCAAACCTGGCATTGTTCTTTTCTGACACAGAGCCACAGATCTATAGCCTTCCATTTTTATATCACTAAGTAGTAATTACTTCATGTGTTTTTATAAAGGTGAAATTATAGCTCTTCAAACAAAAATAACCACCTCCTGCCCGAAACTGATAGAGTTATTTTCAACCACCAATATGTATTAAACTGTTGATATGTATTTACTTTTGAACAATTTCTTAATTGAAACCACAAAAATCTGTCTTTTTCGTCAGGCAGATTTAAGACACATATCTAACCTTCCCTTTCTCACTAAAATCCTTGAGAAAGTAGTTACTTAACAGTTATGTAATTTGCAAAAAAACAATCATTTATTTGAAGAGGTTTAATCTGTCTAGAATGCTTCATCCACAGATAAAGCGCTGGTGGGTGTCACAAATGGCCTTCTAATTGCATCAGACTTTCATTCAAGGACTTTTTTTAATCTTGTTTCTTGTTCTTTTTAAATCTCATTTCTGCATTATTGAACACGACATTCCATTACAGAGACTAAAACATTGAAATGGTGAAAAAGGAACCACACCAAGCCAATACATATCCTATTCATCTCAATGGTCTCAGTTTGTACACGTCAACGATGAATCCTTCATTCATAACAAAGTTAGGGAATATTATAAGGAATCATTCCACTTCAAACATTCATTGTTTGAAGTGTGGATGATACTCAATTATATCAATCAAGCCAAATCAAACCAAACCATTACTTAATTGTGTTCCAATAATGCTGGGTTATTAGTGTTTCCTAGAAGTAAAATAGGTTTAAGACTTTCCTTTTTTAATAAAGCTTATAGATAGATCTTGCTCAGGCTTGTATCAACCCTTAGTTATGATGCTATAAGCCAGTGGTTCTCAACTGGTCAGGCCTCGGGACCCACTTTTTCCTTTGTCAATACATCGCGACCCGAAATTTTGAACTACTCAAATCTATTCAACAAAAAATCGTGCTGTAATATATAAGCTTTTCAGCATACAATATTAATTAAAGTGAAGTACAGTGCATATATCCCTTATATCCCTTCACACAAATAAAGTATGCTTTAAAAAAGGTTTAATGAGATGATTGAATCAAAGCTGAACTATATAACATAAAAAGGCACACATGCTGAAGACCAAACCCCAGAATGGGGGTCTGGGGGGATTCTCCCCCGAGAGATTTTTAGAAATACTAACATATAAACTACACATTTTGGTACACTCTGAGAAGAAAATAAATAAATATAATACTACCCGACATTTTAATAATATGTTATACCATTGTTTGTTTTTCACTTTGTTCTGACAGCTAAACTTGTCTGTGTGTGAATTGTGGGTAGGGTAGATAGCCCCCATTGTTCTGTGACCTGTCAATCATCAAACCGGGGGTCATATTTTATTATGTGTTCATTTTTATCTGAAGTTGTACCCATGGATGTATAAAGAGTAGTTCTACCGCAAAGTTATTCTCCGTGTCGACTTCCGGCAACCATCTTGATTCTGATTGGCCAGAAGACTCGAAAAACCATCAGCAAAGATGTTTTATTGAGAAGATGATCACTACTTGACAGAAGTTTTCAAAAAAACGTTTATGGTCTCCGGTACTTCCAGTCCAACGCCTACTGCATGCAGGACGTTAGAAAATTGGGCCTTCAAAATAAAAGTTAGACTTTTTTCAAAAAGAAAAAAAAAAAGATCTTTTTTTTTTCTTCAC